AAGCAGAGCTCAGTCTGAAAACTAAGCTCTCAATATTCAAGTCGATCTTTATCCCCATACTTGCCTACGGCCAAGAATGGTGGACCATCACTGAAAAACTTCGAACCCGTGTACGAGCAGCTAAAATGGGCTTTCTTAGATGAGTCGCTGGCCTTACGTGTATCGACATTGTCCGGAATAGTGACATTCAGAAGAGCCTTGGTATACAACCTCTGCTTCTCCAGACTGAAAAGTCACAGCTGCGATGGTTTCGCGAATGCCTCCAGAAAGGAAGGCTAAGCAACTGTTTCTTGCAAATCCGACCGGCAGAAGGCCCAGGGGACGGCCAAAATTAACCTGGTGCAAATATATGGAAGGAGTCTGTTAAACACTCCAGTTGTCTTCTGCCGAAGCTGAGACTGGCAGAGGATCGGAATCGTTGGAAGCTCTGTCTCTCGGGTCTACGTCCGCGACCGAAAGGAGAAGCGGCGATGGAAGATGATGACGATGACGGCAATTAATTTTGGCTTGGAAATAAGTACTCACTGGGCTCCGAATCGTTGGTAATCAGTAAAGTTTTCATCTAAACACCTTGCATTCTCCCATCAAAATATATTTCAGGGATATCCAAAAATAAAAAGAAGAAAGCTTGTCTGTATCCGTAATACTTTCATTATGAATGGCTACTTGTGGCGCTCTTCATTTCATGAAGCATACGGCGCAGCGCGTATGTCAGTTTTTATGCCTTCAGCAAGGAGTGATTATTTTTACGCAGTTGACAAGAGTTATGAGCAAGCACAGTGCGTAGTCTGCTGTTTGCTTCCAGCAAAGTGGTAATCATATATTTATCTGGAAACAAAGAAATGAAAGGGGCACAACCAGGGCTCGAAGTAAGGACCCCTTGGATCCAGCTATTAACTTTACTGAATGAGATTCTTGCACCAAAAGCGCTCCATAAAAAGAAGTATAAGATAAATCTACAAATGTGAAACATAAAACTGTCTAACAACAGAGATCATAACAAGAGACTAGTTTAACAAACGGTATTAAGCTTAGACAGATATACAATGAAAAGATTTCGGAAATACTTCTTAAAAAACTTATTGGAAGCAGGTAAAATGCTGCAATTAAACGTTCCAGCGTTCACTGCGTCCAAGCATCTATCATACCTCATACACAGTTATAAGATACTGGACAATGATTCACGTATTTTCAAATAAATGCCTACAAAGAGAATATCATTGGTGTTTGAAAAAATGATGAATATTGTTCAAAATACATATAAAAGTCTATAACAAACGTCAGTTATGCCTCAGATAACAAGAATACACTATAATGACATTGCTTAGTTAGAAAAGTTTTTATTTCATGATTGGCATCACAAAATAAGTGAGCCTTAATTAGACTGACGTTTTCAATAATACCTGTTTCGTCCATTACCCTGCTCTGAAATATGCTTGAATTAATGTAACATTTTCGTCAGCTTTAAAGAGTTGCTTTCAGCGCTTCAGAACTCTATTATCAGTAACCGAATTGAAAGAGATTAATTCCACAAGCTGCTCAAAGAACACCATCGACCACGGGTCAAGAACAATTATGATACCGTGCTTGACTAATAGGAGAAGCTCATTCTCAAGGTACCGATTAGACAAATGAATTGAATGGAAATCGATAGGGAACATGTGCCGGGTATTATATTTCATTCTTATTATGTGATCGAAAAGCTGGGAGCGTTTGCATCGCATGAGGTCGTTGATAACAGGAACTGAAATTTGCACAAATGCCTCCGTAACATCAGTTAATCGTACTGTACAACGAGGAGTTGCCTCTGGTAAGGCATCTGAAAGCTGCGAATCAGTGAGATAAGACTGCCGGCAACCGTACGTCACTATTAATATCGTGGATCACTCTTTATAGTAGAATTCTACATAGCAAAGTTATTCAATTAAAAATTAGAATGTCTGCTCAAGGATTCTAAGATAAGGAGGGAGTACATGATTTCTTCTAGTGATTTCTTTCTACTTCTCTGGAATAAAATTTTTCTAATTAGATTTTATGACTTACTATCTGAAATGTATACAACACTGTTAATGTGATCTCCGTAATGAAGAACATCTCTTCCATTTAAATTGTCGACTTGCTGCAAAAGTATCCTGATTCATTTTTACCTAAAACCACTGAAAATATGTTTTTCCCCTTTTTCAGCAATGAATCGAAATGAACTAAAGAAAATATTCATACCGTTAAGAAGAATTTTCAAGACCCTACTGTCAGTCAATGCATTCATACTAAAATTACGAATGACAGAGAAACAATGGTAAGAACCGTGACCACATTGCAATCTTATATCAAGACGATGCAATAAACTGCAAGATTGCGAAATTACAGATTTTGGTATTACAACTTTCGAAAATTAACATTTATACTAGGTCTGAAGCAGAGAATAATTCAGTTTCTCAATCTATGAAACGGGAAACATAAGCAATTAGTTATATACCTCAAACTTAGACACTCTTGGACACAGCATCATGCAATGTGTTTGAAACAGTGCTTTCATATTTAACGGGACTGCTTGGTCGTTGTTCGTTTGATTCGGCACACACACATTCCGTTTCCATTTGTGACTGGGGGTCAGATGGCAAGTCATACA